AAAAAGTTTATTTAACATTTTCTTTTCAAAATTGTCTTATTTATCGACGTCTTCCCTGCGTTTTTTATATTGGTCACGTTCAGAACGTTTATTTTGCAACTGTTGGAAATTTTCTGTGCTATGATTGGATTATTCCTCTGGTTCTAAAAATGTAATCCAATCTCAGTACAAAACATGTTCAACAGTTGCAAAATAAACATTCTGCTGAACGTGACCATTGAATTCAGTATGCTCGGTAAAAAGAGACCGATAGAATATAAATGATGTACATACAACAAAGACAACCACTTCAGTTGTAACAACTTTACAGAACGAAACATTTTATTTCTTGAGGTTGGCCAACAGTGTTTTTAACGGTCAGGAAAGAAACGAGAGGATAGATAATTAGAGAGAGACGCTCAAAAACTGAGCACACCATGTATACCACGTGCGCTACTGCTCCTTCCTTGCATATCCCCTCTTATTCGGGTTTGGTGCCCTCTCTACGCTTGCTCTCAAAACTAAAAACTAGTGACATATCAGGGGCCTGACGGAGGTTCTGTATCCCTTCTCTTCTACTATCCAGGACATCCTCCCCCCTTTTGGTGGAAAAGAAAACAAAATACATGACCCATGAAATTTAGGTGAACAGAGTATCCATAAAAAATCGCAAAATACAAAAACGCAAAGTATTAACAAAACATTTTGTTCTTAAAATTAATCCTTAAACTAACACTTATAACGCTCCGGTTCTTTAATAACGCGCCCACTTCGTGTGGTTACAATCTTTGGTTCGTCGCTTTTGTGTTCGTGAACAATCTTCTTATCATTACAACCTTTTGTCTCATCACTAAGTCTATCAGGACTTGCTCGCTTACCTAGATATTTCGCAAAATCCTCTGATTCCTCGTGTGAAATTTCCAGAGGATAGACTCTTTGTACCGGTCTCCTAAGTAAACTATTTTTTATTTTTAAAACTACTACTCTTATTTGACCGTCGCGACCTGGAATTACATCCATTACACGTGCAAGCGGCCAATCCACACGTTTGCGCGTATCGTCGCCGACTAGAACGACGTCCCCGATTTCTATTTTTCGAGTCTCTTTCTTTTTTCCGTTCTTCAGAAACAACTGTCCTAAATATTCTGTGCGAAATCTCTTTCGTAGGTCTTCGCGAATTTTCTGTCTGTGTTTTAGTTTCTTCTCTAACTTTGCCCGATAGAGCATGTCACAGTCTGGGATACCGTACTCTCGATTTTCTTGCAAAAATAATGACGGTGATAGTGGTTTAAGATCATTAGGATCTTCTGAAATGTACGTCAGTGGACGAGCGTTAATTATTGCCTCTGCGTCGCATAGGGTTGTGTTCAGGCTCTCGTACGACATACTTGCCCTTCCCAGCATCTTTCTCAACAATGTCTTCAAGATTCCTATGAGTCTTTCCCACCAACCACCCCACCACGGTACTGCTGGCGGATTAAAATACCACTCTATTTGTGACGCCGAATTGTGTTTCGTAATTCTATTCCAGTCTAATTTGCTTAAAGCCTTGAAGGCGCCGGTAAAATTCGTCCCGTTATCGCTATATGTATGCTACATGGACGTCCGCGTTTTGCTATGAATCTGCGTAAGCATTCTAAAAAGCCCTGAGTGGATAACGTCGATGCTAACTCGAAGTGTACTGCTCGGAAAACCGCACACGTAAAAATACAGATCCACGCTTTTTCTCCTCCGCGTACAATTAAAGGCCCTGCGAAATCTATGCCTACCACTTCGAAAACTGATGCGTCACGGACGCGACTCGGAGGCAAAGGCGGGGTTTCGGTTTCCAGACGTTTTACTCTTTGTCTCTTACAGGTTATACAATTGGATATCACCGACTTTATGACTTTCGAAGCGAGATAATCCAAAATCTTTCGCGTATCTGGCTCATGATCATTTGTGTTCCGGCATGGCCCATTGATTCATGAATTTCTCTTACTAGGATATAAACTCGTGATTATTATCTAAGATAACAGGACACAAAATATTACGATCGTCAGTTCGATTAAAAATCTTAGTCTTTAGGACATATACAGGGTGAGTCAGCATAACCTTTTACCATTGAAGATACAAGTTCAGAATAAAATTCTAAGATGAATTTTCCTCTTGTAAAACTTTGGTAAAAGCTTATTTTTCGATATAAATAAAAATTGTTACCCTATCACACGTCGAATACAGGAGGTAGGCAGGGGCGGCGCAACTCACAGTCAGGCGCGGGCTCTTTCGTGGGGTGGCCGTTGCGATCAGCTTCTCTCCGGTTCACTCACTCACTCACTCACTCACTCACTCACTCACTTACACTCACTTACACTTGGAACACACACGTTTATCACTATTATTAATCGCTATCGATTAATCATTCGGCGACTAATAATCCTTGAAAGACAACCAAACACGTGTTTCTTCCAAGGATTGTCAGTCGCGAC